GCGTGATGATAAATCAGCTTCGGACGGACGAAACTTCACAGAGTAATTCGGTTCGTCTTTGGGGCTGTCTTGGCCGGCGGTGTGTGCCTTTTAATAACAGGCTTGGCGTATGTGCAGCGCATCCCAAACAGAGGCCTCCGGTGTCATATGCCCGCCGGGTCGGGCGTCAACGGAATGTTTTTATTTTATTTGATTCAAAGGGGGTAATTTGTGAATTTGCCCGAGTTTTTTGTTATATTTTTATCGTCCGTCGCCGTACACGTTTCGTCGCTCTCGTTTTGTTCACGTGATTCGGAACGTCGAAGGTTTGATGATCAGCCAACACACACAGCCGTGTTCATTTGCGGACATCAGAATTTTATACAAAACACAATCGTTTTTTAAACACCGGTCAACTAGTCTATATTGTTTGTCAGCCTTAAATAATATAATATAGATCCGCGCGGTTATATTTTCTACACGATACGGCACATCAAACACTTACGCTAGTCCTTCAACGACCTTAAGAATCGGCCGCTTATATAATTATGGGTTGGCTCATTACGCAGGTCCTACGGAGCTACACAATGACCATCAGATTTGCGTTGAGCAATTACCGACCGGTCGATTGATCAACTTTTTGAACTCGCCGTTTCGACATGTCCGTTTAGTCTGACGTTTCTCTGAATCCCTGTTGGTGTTTTTTAACAAGGTCCAGATCGTTTATGTACGTAATGTGTTATTTCAATTGTGCGTGTCCGTCGTAAGCCAATTACTCGGATCAATCGCTGAAATACTATTCTTTGCGGTTGGGTTGGGTGAAGTCAATAATTACAAGAACTTTATTGGAATGAAAACATTTCGTGGACGTTACACGTATGATGGAAAACTCTCGAATAATTAACAAAGTACACATTTTTTACGAATAGAACGATTCGTAAATGATAATGGTTATTATTTTTTTTGGCTACTGGTAACGTCGCCATTCTATTCCATCGAGCATAAAAAATATTATGTGCACACATTTTCGAGCGTTGTTATGGCGACGACAAAACGTGTATGTGACTGTCTGTGTCGACGTTAAATAAACAGAAACTTCCAAAAAGAGTTTCAATAGCATGCCGCCTACTAAGTGTAACTACATTATATATTTACAGTTAGCGTTGGGTATTATGCGCGTCGTCGTTAATAAAAAATACATGTACACGGTTTTACATGTATATGTGTGTGCTCGTGTATAACTTCCCTGTTTATGTGACATCGGCCAACGGCGCAAAATGTTCGTCGTACTAACCGTCGAGTAAAAATAACACACAGCGGCGCACAGAAAGTACGCCGACTTTCTGTAGGGAAGGGCGAGGGGCGGGCGTGGCACACACACACGCATATATATGTTGGCTACAGGGTTAATAATCGAACTTTCACCCTTTTTCCCTCGCGCCCTCTTTCAAAGTCATAGCCGTCACGACCCCACAGCACGTCGACGACCCCTCGCCAAGTTTGCAGCCATCCGGGAAACGCCTCTCACGCAATTCACCACCGCACCGCGCCCACTCGTTCGACGCGGCCCTTAAAAGTACTATCGACTTTTCTCCTCCCACGATTACCCTGCGCGATTGGGCGGTGCTCGTTAATAACGTATAGCGCGTGTAAAGTTTTTAGCGAATTTCAGTCTTTACCCGAATCCATAAAAATGAATTAAAAAATAGTGTATTTAACGGGAACACAACGAGGAAAATATCAAATGCGAAAATACCAATACTCTTTGTAAAATATACTCTGCACGATGAATTTATTCTATTCCGACGGGCGTACACATGAGATGTTTGATTTTCTTTAACTTTGTGTATACATAACTTGTTAGTGGAAATTATTTTCCATATAATAATAAATATTTAAGATTAAGTTCGGGCCACAGTCCGATTGTAGTTGCTATTGTTTATTGCTATCTGCGCAAACAGAAATTTTGTTCAACAGAATTTTTTACGGACGAGTGTGTTTTTCTTTCGACTTTGTAAGTTTGTAGTTTTCCTCTGAAGTGTACAAATAAGTGAATTTCGGCCACGTGCAATTACCGCATTCGAAAGCCGAGTATCGTTACCATAAATTGTTTTGTAACAGTTCGTGGAAAAAAAAAAGCTCAGCCGTATAATTTTTGCTGACGGCCTTTTTTACGGTCGACGTTTCCTGGGAAACAGCCCTAACTTTTAAAGGTGGCAATTACTCGGCGGTACCCTATAATTTCGGGCGGCACTAAATGTACCCTTGAATGCATTTTTCATAACGTCTTTAGTCCAATGTAAACCATGAAAAAAATTTCCCGCCTTAACGAGCACCTTTCAAATTATTTATTACACACACAATACATTCCGTCGATAGTTGTGTGTACTATGAATAAATAACAATGTTCTCATCTCAGCCGAATCTTGTCACGGGAAATCAGAGCGGAGGCGGTCAATGAGTTATTTTTTTGCGATCCATTCATGTGACGATGGCCTGTGTTGTCTTGTCACCCGTCAGCAGCAGCACAATGTATTTATTTTTTTTCAGCGCTTTCGGTCCGTCGATTATCGACAGTTTTAAACGTGTCAGTGGCCACTGGACTCGAAAATGTATTACACGGTACAGGAGGAGTAGAGGAAAAAAAAAACATTTCACACCACCAATGGGCGTCAGCGGAGGCTGGCATGCTTTTTTACTCGATTCGGTCTTCCGCGTCTTTAGCGCGTTTCTCTCCGTCTCCGGTGTAGACTCTCGAAAGTACACGCCGCCTGATCGGCTCCATATCAAAGAAACCGTACAAGTGAATTCGACACGTCTCTATTGTATCGGAACGGATCGGAAGGAAATTCGGATTTTTCCGTATAACGTTTATTTTTTTCCTTCTAAAATTATTTTCGGTCTATTCCTCCGGCCGCGAGAAACGCTCGCACCATTTTGATTATTTCTTTCAACTCCGAAAATAAAAAAGAAAAAAAAACATCATCCCGACCGCGTTTCCAACTCACGGAAAAATCGGCGGCATGTCGAATCCGTCGTATCCTTGAAATTCTTGGAGTCACGTAAGCGCGACGGCTCTGCGGCGGTCGTAACGTTTTTCTTTTTATTTCGATTTTTTTCATTGCCTCTCTTCGACAGCTTCACCCCCTGACCGCCACTCGACCGCGCGTACCGCCCACGAACGACCCGTGGTCACATCCGAATGCCCATCGTAATGGTCGCGCAGCAATACAAAACGGATTTTTTTTTTTTTAATATTTATTTTCTGCACCGCTGTCGCCCCGGGGCGGTAATTTCGTACGCCGGCTAAATCGTTTCGGCTCGTATCGGTCAACAAACGGACCGATCCGATCAAAGTGTCCGACTGCAAGTCCACAGAGTTTGCGACAAACTCGTCGTAAACAGTAGGCGTGTTATTGAATTACCCACAAGATACACACCATTTATTAGCCCACTCGAGAATCGCCCGTTTGTTATTGTATTTTACGCTAACCATTATTCGTGTGTAATTGAGATGCTCGTTTTAACACATTCTGATGGGATTTAGGTTATTAAATAAGATCAACGTTAAGATGTTCGCGGTCCATCATATCTATCGAATCGATCGACAGCAGCAACGTTTACAATGTGTGTGTGTGTGTGTGTGTTTTAGGTGGGCGTGGTAAATTTCACTAAATAGATTTCGATGGCCATTCGTTATGTGAACTACGCGGAGTACGCATATTTATGCCACTAAGCCAGAAAACGNGCGGAGTACGCATATTTATGCCACTAAGCCAGAAAACGGATAGTTTATTAATTGGGTACGAGCTGACCAATTAGTCGGTGAACGTGCCTTATTGTTTCGAACGAAAGTAGAAGTGGACGGAATAATGAAACACCACACGGATAAATTCAGCTGTCGACCGCCAGAGTGTCATTGTAAGCCAAAGGAAATCAAGTCGGAAAATTTATATAAAAAAAATCCATCTTTATGATCACTCGATCAACAGTGTATGTTTTCAGTAAATCAATTGTCCAGTAAACACCCCCTTCCCCATTTTTTTATCGATCCGACAGTGTTTTATGGAAACATTATTGCAATAACGCTGGGTGAAATATAAACTCCAACGGTCAGAATAAACAAAATTATAATTACCATAGCTACATTTTTGCTATAAATATCAATGTCAATTAAATCACATCGGTATTGTTACGTTAATAATTGAATCTGTTAATTTTACAAATGAAATTTGGTTCAGTTTAATAGATTTCGAGTTTGTAAATGTCAATGTATTGAATAGTGTAATATTATTTATTATTTATGAATTCATAATAATTGAAAATTATTGAGAGTTATTATTTTGGTTTCATTTGGTAAATTTGATGTTATTTGAAATGTACAAAATGAATGTGGTCACTTCATATCTTCGGGGTAAGCAATGAAAATATTTTATTTCTCTTAATTTTTTAAAATTTTATTCCAAGTTTAATTCACGAGTTAAGTATACTAACAAAAAACATGCGGTTTCGTATAATCGTTTGTGCTGATAATATTTTCGCCGTAAAAAGTAAAATTATGTTCTTAATAAGTTTCAATAAAAATGCATTCTCTTTGTATTTATGAAATGTCTTCGATTCTATAATCGTGACTATGATTTATTAGAATTTGTTGACGTCATTGTTAACAATGTTTAGATATTCGCATAAACAAAGTTAAACGCCTCTTAATTAAAAAATATGTTACCGAGTTCAATTTCTTCTAGATGGTGGTGTTGACACCACCGAATTATATATTTGTATACTTAATAGTTAATTATTATAAAATAATTATTTTCATATAAAACGTATTAATTATAGGGTGATGGGAAGGGCAATGCAAATAATTTCTCCTCCAACAGACCCTTTAATAAAACGTGGAAAAAAAAAATAACGTGTACAAATTATTTGTACATTTTCTAAGGTAAGATAATATTTTAATATTTCAAAAAAAAAAAAATCAAATTAAAAAAAATTTAAATTAAAAAATAAATAAAACTTACTTGTGTTTGGGTAAGTCCTAGGGATGCGGCTAATTCTGCTCGTTCGGGTAGTGCTAGGTATTGGGTTCTTTGAAATCGCCTATTGAGCTGTTGCAATTGCAAACTCGAATAAATGGTTCTAGGCTTTCGCATTTTTTTCCCTTTGCCGTTTACCCTGAGACTTCCGTCTTCTCCGAGACCGCATTTTTCTGCGAAATAAAAAAAAGTCAATCGATTGAACGATAAGAAAAGGTCTGAAACGAAGTACAATAAAGAGAACGAAAAAATGGATGGCACTTGTTTCAAACATTTGTACGGGCAAGTGCAGTATTATATATATATATGTGTGTGTGTGTATGTATAAATATATATATATACATGTATATATGTATGTATATGCTGTTACAACAACATTGTGAACCACACATGTGTGTGGGTACCCTTTCTGTGCAAACGACCATTCAGAGTTACAGTCGGGTCGTCCAATGGCCGCCACCGCTGACGACGTGGTTGCCACAGAGAAATTAAAAATGTATTAGCCCCCGGGGGTCTCGTGTATGGGCCGCAGCTCACCTGGCCGCCACCGCCTCCTCCTCCTGCACCCTACAGGTTAATTCCTCCCGTTTGTTGTACCGCTCGCCAGCCGTGCACTGTTTGTGTATGCACTACGTATACATGTGATGTGGTATTGCGTACAAAGCTCGCAGACAAAAAAAAAAGTATTACAAGTACAAACCATTTGTTATTAAAAACAGTGTATTTTTTTTTTTTTAATAATGGGTGTAAAGTATTTGCGTGCGCTGTTTTTATTTTTTTGTTAAAAACACGGCGAGTCCACATGTTTTACCCATTGAAAAAAGAGTATACGTGTACGACAGAAAACGTGTGTTTTTCCGCGAGTTTTTAAAACGCAATTGACAATAATCTGTTTTTTCGTCATTTCCCTGCGGTGTTGATTTCCGCCGTCGTTGACCACAAAATCAATTACCGGAAAATAAATACAAAACCACTCTCATGAAGGCAAAAAAATAGAAACCGTTTGTCGCATGATTTTCTAAATTTAGTGTATTTTATTATTTTTAGGTCGTGTGTATTAGTTTAGTATTTACATATCGCATGTTTTACATTGTAGATTGTTATTTTTTACAGTGATGGTGGTCATAGGGCGGTACGAATAATTCAACCCGAATAATAAATACTGTTTATTGATTTTCAGCGTTTGATATTCGTATTTTCATTTTTACACGTGAAGCTACACGAGACACGTTACGAGTTCACCTAAATCGATTGTCGGTCGACAGGAGCAAGCCATCAAATTTATCATTGTCATGTACTATCGAATTTATTTATGTGCAAGATAAGTTACAAACACGTTATGAGCATAACATGCGATAGCATTAATGACCTTTATAAGGAGATGTCTGACTATCTCCTCGCGGTACTCGTTAAATGCATCGAAAACCGAGAGGACTAATCAGATCCATCAGTTGTGCATAACATCATCAGTTTTACTTTACGCATAAAAATTACATGTTCAATAATCAGTTCAGATATGCNATACTCGTTAAATGCATCGAAAACCATCAGATCCATCAGTTGTGCATAACATCATCAGTTTTACTTTACGCATAAAAATTACATGTTCAATAATCAGTTCAGATATGCTATCACGTGTGACCTGCAATTCCAATCGGTGAGAAGAAGTTTAATCGTCGCCTCTCTAGAGAAATAATGGAACACCACTAATCGACTGTGATGTAATTACACTAATAAAAATGTTGAGAAAAGCAACAATAAAACAGAAGTTATGGCTCGACGCAAATTATATGATAGAATAATTATTATAATTAATATTAATTTATATAATCTTTATCGATATGCGTAAAACGCTTCATATTTTTATTTTTAAACAATTAGCTAATGTATAATATGAATTAAATTATTTGACTATAAATGTACTAAAGAGTTTAGTATTTTTTAAACCTGTGGTGAATCTTATATATTGGGAAAATTTTTAGTAAAAATCAAATCCTGCTATATGTACATATATGTTTTCTATGTTTGAATAAAAGCCACCATGGTCATAGCTGCGGTTTTTTTGGTTTAGATTTTTTTTTTTTTTTCAATAATAATTCTACACGCATATTTCAGGACGGCGACCGTCACGTACACAAAACGGACACATACATTGAGGTGCGTCAGATAAAAAAAATAATAAAGGCATTGTAAAAGTAAAAAATTATTAAAATAACATTAACGCGACAAGGACTAACGATAAAAAAGCCCATAGGCAGGTATAATATGGTCCGTTTATTCGATTATGATCGTGTACATACACAACAATGTAACGAGTTATATTATTTTGCTTACAATGATTGTCACAGGTTATTGAAGACATTTAATAGTGTATGACACTTGAGCGTTTAAAGAGCTGTAAACTTACAATAAAATATAAATTACAAATTTTAACAACGACTTTGCATGAGAATAAAATAACTTAATTTAACTTGAAAAACCTTTCAACGAAAATAAATGACCGAATATTCGACAGTAATTTTTTTTAATATTTATCGAATATTGATTTGGAGTGACACCAAAGCACACGACATTTGTAACGACTCATGACGTACCAAACAATCGATTGGGTTGTATGATCACACTATTCCAAGGACGGTGGTCATATTAAAATATTTAAAAATAATAAAACGCTTAATTGAATTATTCACAATTGACCGGACGGATGTGAATGGAATCCAAACACGAAATAGAATGCAACATATGTGTTGCATTATTCGTATGTTAGTTTTACAATGAAACTGTATAAATACATATAAATTGTCGTTCAACAAAAGCCTATACAACCACAGCGGCTAATTTTACAATGTCGTGTTTCCATTTAGTCCTTAACTTTTAAAGAACGTCCCTGAATGCCAAATACGAAAAATATTTTCTCGTTTTCTCTGGAAACACAATATCCAGTAGACCTTGTAACGTAAAAAACAGACGTTTATTATTGTTGAACTGCCCCCGGTCGTACGGCGTTGCCGTAGGATGGGGCGTAGAAGTTCTGAATATCATTTGAATACATTTTTTATCGGGTAAAATAATAATAATACATCGGTAGATGGAGCAATGACGATTTTCCTGTATGATTAAGTGCGGCCGTACCCCCGGGCGCATTGATAACGTATAAGGATCTTGCGCACAAATGTATAATGATATTGGTTTGAAGTTTTTTTACACGGACATAAAATGGTGTACACGTGAATATCTTAATGCACCGATGCAAATATCCAACAAGCTAGCAGTCTTGTAGCTCTTTTGGAACCAAACGAGGACCTGTTATATAGAACCGCCTGAAAACGGAGGTTTATATAAAAAGAAGGACATGAAAATACTAAGGAAATCTATATTTAAGACTGACTATGTCTTAAATATATAAAATATATTGCATATATATGTATATCAGATATAATTAAAAAAAAAAAAAATAGTTATTACTTAAATTCTGATATGACACCTATTTGAGTTTTATATCATTCTATTTGTCGACATGTCTAAAAAATAGTCCACGATTACTTCACGTGTACTTTATGATTTCTATTGGATTTTTTTACTATAATTACTTTACCAAATATTTTCCCTTCGCGATCGCACGTGCCCCGCAGAGTATAATTACAACCAGCGGTGCTCACTGGAGGTGGGTGTGTGTACACCTTTGTACCCGCGTGGCGTTAATACATGAAGAGCAGTATACTTTCTTATGCCATTGTCGATTATGTAATTATAAGGAATACCCCCCCTCCCAAAAAAAAAAACCGTTAATGATCGACTGAACGACTTAAATGGTTAATTGCTGCAGCACATAAGTGCCATTCTGAACAAGGTAACGCACGCGTTGCATTATATGAACTGCACGTGGGTTTAAATAGGTAAATATTTCTGAATAATATAAGTGTTTGTGTACATTTTTTACCATAATTAATTAATCAGTATGTAAATTATTTACTCGTAAGTGTCGTTGTGATATTTAATTTAGGATAGGTCTAACATTAAAAAGTTCAACAGCTCGTTTGTTTTACCCCAAGGCCAACAGCGAAAGCCCCTTTGTCAACACAACGCTTAAACTCAACATTAATTTTATTGTATTTTTTCGTAGCCGTGGAAATGACTATTTTCCATTAGCACTCGAGGCGCGAACAGCAATTTTTTCCGCCCTACATTTTATGGTGCGGCGCATTAAAACGAATTTGGCTAATTTTATACTCTACAGCAGTTGTATAAAAACAACAGTGTAACACTATAATAATGTGGATAGACACGCCGTCGCCGCTACTGTATCTATTCGTTGTGATTTTCAAGGGGAAAAACTACACGGGCTCGTATTATAATACAAAACAGGCGTATCGCCTCATTCTCTGTCCACAGTAGCGGTAAAAGAAAATCGTTTCTGTCGGTTGACTTTGCAACAGCACAAGATTTTCTCACACCGCCCCGACACAATGCATGCTGACTGCACATGCCGTCAATCAGAATGTACATTTTTTTTACACATTACAGTTGTGTGTGTTTGAATGAGCCTATTTTTTTTTTTTGCATTACAACATGAATACATAATTTATTATGTTAAGCTCTAAATTATTATTACTATTATTTATTTTTTTTGTTAATTTTTTATTAGTTGGATCATTACTCGTGCACAAATGTATAATGTATTATCTCACTTTTATTTTTATTAATAAATTACATGTTATTTAGAAATGACCCCATCTCCAAAAAAATATTTTAATGCTAATTTTAGGTAGATATTTTGAAATAAAAAAAATCTAACAGAATATTTCAATTTATGACAACCTTATTATGATGAACGCAATAGGAACTTGAAAAAGTTTCATTTTAGTATCCAAAGCAGTTTTTTCAACTACAGTTACAACTGTGCAAGCTTTACAACGACTTGAGAATTCGATTTTAATCGTTTGTATTGCTATTAACTCAAATATAGTAGTCGACTGTCTTTCTCTGCAAACCAAACAAACCGTATTGCTGGCAAAATATTTCTATGTAATTTATTGGTAAACAGTATTTAAAAAATAATAACTTTACTGTTAGTTAGGGATAAGAATTATATAAGATTTATAAATTTTGTTTGAGACACTTTGAAGGGTCCCGAGTTTGTGAAATTTTCTCATAGCATTGTATAGTAGCGTAGAAATATTTTTCGTTTTATGAGGAGGGCAAAATTTCTAATCCAAAACTATAACTAAGTTTTCAAATGAATTAATACAAATTTGTGCTGGCTGAGTTTAGAATAACTTGATAAATGCATTCAGGTTGTCATTTCTTAGGCCCACTGAAAATATTAATATCGGATATGGAATGTCTTTGCTGTGATAGTTTTGTGATGATATTTATTGATTTCCCGGGGGGAGTTTGAGGTGAAAGAAAAAAACTATTAGCTCAGAGGGGAGCAAAACCCGTACCCGGTCACGCGTGATCCCATTGTAAGTCTGAAGACTACACTCGTGCAGTACGATTTAGTAAACAATGAAAACCTTAAATTACAACAATACAAGAGTAATAGACGTCTGTAGCCGTTTGTGCCACACCTGACATCCGCTTAGATGAGTACCGCATTTAGGTAGATAACAAAGCTCCCCGAAAAAAAATAAGTAATAAATTTACATTTGTACTGGAGTAATAAAAATATATCTGTTCCATTCGTTGTGTATCTCTTTTCTGAACGATAAGTACCTATATTAGTTTTAGTGTTACTGTATTTTATGGTTCTTTTTTTTTTTTTTTTAGTGTTCATAACGCACATAATAGTGAACGGTAGCAGTGAGCGTCCATTAGGATGATGTGACAAATTTTAAAATGATGGAGGATTGTTAAAAAAGTGCCGAGTCATTCGTTTGCGGTGGAAAACGAGCAGCCATTAATAAAAGAAAATCTATATCAACGAAAATACTTTATCGTCGGGTTTCATAAATGCTAAGCGATTTCCGATCGATTGGATTGTTGCATAATCTGAATAGAATTTAAAAAACCAGCCAATAATTTTCTATTACAGAACGCATATAATATGCGACAGTTTTAAAATATTCTTAAAGGGTCTCGACGGTAATTAAATGTGATAATTCGTCTATCCGATAGACTCTATCGTATTAAAATTGTGTGTTTTAACGGGTATTTTTTAAACGCCAAAATTGGAACTGATAAGAAATAATTACATACATGAACATAAAAATTACTTATATATATATATACGTCAAATACACAATAAATATATAATTATTGTCAAGAAATAATTTAATATGTATTAAATATATGATAATAATTAAATTTAAATAAAGACTAGATATTGTTTTCCCTTATTTATTGGATTTTATACGTACGGTACGTAAAGATTATATTCGAGGAATCACTTTAAATGACAGAAAATATTAGAGTTTTTTGGTAGAATATCAACGACGGACAATGTTTGACAAGTGCAAAGGCTTCCCGAGACCTTTTTTTTATAAAGATACACGTATTGTTGTGTTTACTTACCGTCTTTGGTGGGCGATGGACACTGAGGCGTGTATGACCCAATATGATAGCTCGAATAAGAGTTTTGGTGCATCGTGGGAAAAGGATATGCGGCCATGCCCCCGCGGGGGCTACCGAACCCACCGGCAGCGTCGGAGTGATGATGGGGCAACGATCCTGCGTTGCCGCCGTGGTGTTGGGGGCTATGGTGTTGGTTGAACGGATGGGACGGATGGGCGTGCGGATGTGGGTGATAGACTCCTCTGACTGCATTGTAAGGGTTTTGCTGTAGCTCGATGAACGCCGACTTGGACGTGGGTATTGGCGTCACGTTACCGGGCACGCTGCCACCGCCGCCGGAATCCTGTTGGCCGCCGCCACCCGAATTGTTGCCGCCGGAACCGCCGCTGCCGTTTAAGTTAGACGGGTCTAGCGAGTCGCCGGGCGCCATACCGTTGTTGTTGTTGTTGTTGTTGCCGTTTGGCGTGCCGGTTGATCTTTGCTGTTGCGCGCCCCCTCCGAACGGGCTTCCAATCTCTCCGTAATTCAGCGTGATGGCTGTTGTGCGTTAAAACGTTTTACAAAAATAACACCGTTTCACCGAGCAGTCAAATAATAGTGACTCGAATAAATTCAACTAATGGAGATCAAAAGCTTATGTTGCCGAGTTAAAACACACACATACACACACAAAAAAAAAAAAACACTTCGCGAGTCGCATCCAACGCGGGTCACTTCATGTTAGATAGAAACTTGAGTTAGCGCATCGCGCTTGTCGTCGGCGTGAAAAATTGGCGCGCGCGCGCACCTCAAAAAACGCACTATGAGAACACAACAAAAAAAAAAAATAAATTGTTATATATATCACAGAAAACCACACAAACAAAATATGTGTCTACGAGTATTGTTCAAAAATCCACGTTTCGCACTCGAAATGTCCTCTTTCGAAAAACGGCGGTTTATTATCCTTTTTGTTTTACTCTACGAGATACAGCCGAAACAACGTGTGTGTAACGTACGCATGAACGACGCGAACCACTCGACGGTCGACCTCGTAATGAACGAAGTCGTGGCGGCCGCCAGTCATGCTGTTCGCTGTCCCCAGCTGGGTGCAACCAGTAAGACCGGTCTGGCGGGCAACGATGGGCGGTTCGCAGGCATCGTCCCCACCGCCCATCGGTCGTCCGCCATCGCCGTGACCAACGTCGGTGGGAGTCGACTCCGAGCGCCAGTCGGCCGCCCAGCAACTCGCAGACACGCACACACCACTCCGACGCCTGCACCTTCGCCGGTAAACGCGCGCGGGCGCTCTTTGGACGTTCTTGTGACATCGCCGGTCGATTCCGGCACCCCGTTTGCTTCACCACTCCAACGTATAGGAAAACCATCTCCTCCCCAACGGCGCCGCTGCCGACAACACCGCCATTATTTACATCAGCTGTATAGCAGTGGCACATAATGTCTTGTACTGTGTAAAAGCACAACAGAGCATTACATTTAAAAAATGATTACCCAGAAATGTAGTTTTAACGAAATATTTTTTATTAAAAACACTTAAATCAGTGTTTATTATAATAACGCCCCAACACGTTTATTTTAATTCGATTTCAGAATGATGTCAGATGACATTTTGCAATTTTTGAACGTTTTGGGTTACTGTACTATTACTGGAAAGGTCGATAACCTTGGGAGGCTGTTTTTTTCTAGTATTCGATGACAGTGTTCTGACATATTTACCGTGACACATCTTCAGCCGGGTCCTTAAAAGCCAATGTGCATAAAAAATATACGTAGTTTATACTGCGTTTTTTTTTTACTTTAATATATTATTTTAAACGATGATTTCATTTTAGGTTAGTTTAAACTTTAATGGAATGATTTTTTGTTAATTTTATTCTATTTTTCTATAAAATTTTAACACGGATTTAATTATTTCATTGATAATTCGCATAGATAAGGTTGTAGAAACAAAAAACGAGATGTCTTGTGCTATTGTGAATAGTGACTACGGAAGAAAATAGGAAGAGCCTTGAAAATCATTATCAAAATGTATAATTATATATTATTTAGGAACTAGATGTGACGGTACATAAAGATAGAATAGTATAGTTGTTATACCACTAGAACTACAGTGGTACTAGTAATGTTATGACTCTATTACAGTTGCACAAGACAATTAAACTAATTTTATAAATTAACTTACATTATATAACATTGTATTTACACAAAGTAAATGAGGTTTTCTTACGAAAAAAAAAACAATATTTTATAGAAGATTTATAGGGTTCGATTTACTATCGAATCCAATGATACTAATCCCATTAAGGAATATAGTACAAGAGACAAGAACCTTATAAATTCAAAATTTGTGATTTTATATAATAAAAATTGATCGCTTGTGTCTAATGTTATTTTAAATTATAACTATTCTAAAAATATTAATATAAAACCAAAAAAGTATTAAACTCATAGTCACAAAAAAAAAATGTGATTTTATGTTGCAATTTTTTATTTTTATTAAATAACAAACCTAATATACTCGTGCTAACACATAATAATTTTAATGAAGCTTTATTGTAATTAAGCGAGTACAGTTCGTAGAGAACTCATATATTTGTTAAACGAATGGTATTTTTTTAATTAATTGAACCACATTTTTTTGTCGATTTTAACGGTGAATGTTTTTTTCAGTGGACGTTTTTATTTAAATTTTTTTGAGAATAGTTTTTCAACTCAATGAAAACTCGTTAAAGAGATATTTACTATGCAGATGCATCCAGATCATGACCTAACTCATCTGATCGACATTATTATGTACAGTAATTATTTATGTATGATAAATTTGAAATAAACTGAGGTTGCACCGTGTTATTAACTATCAATTACGAATACAATACATGCTTGCATTATAATTATGTATGTTTATTATTTTTTACGACGGTACATGCACACGTACATGTACAAGTATGTATATTAACAGATTTCAAGTTTTTATAAATTCTCACTCTTCGAATTCGTGTGAAAAAGGTAATTATAATTTAGCCACTGGCAGTGTGTGTTGTTTCGACTAGTTTATATATCGAGTCGTCCGTGCTATTTTTTGTTAAAGGTGTGCAACTTCTCTGTGAAAATTAATTCCACATGTAATAAAAAACTATGATTTAAATGCATTCTAATTTGGTGGAAATATCTAAAAATACCATATTAATGGTATATGTAAGCAAATGTGATATCATTGAACGTTATTACAAGCCTAAACAGTAAAAGGTCATTGAGTAGTCAATATTTTTCGTAATGAGCCATTTCCCATGGACTCGGCAATGGGCGAAATAGTTTTTTATTTTTCTTGGTCGTTAATATTCGTATATCGATAGACCAACGAGTATTTTTGACGACCAAACGTGTAATATACTCGATGCAGGTGAGCTGTAATGGCTTCATACTGCGCGTGACCCAAATAATATCAATTAGATATGAGCAACTGCGTTTCAGCAGCTAAAAATAAACACCGGAGTCTACAAAAAATGAGTAGTAAGTACAGTATCATTAAACATTTCAAGTTAATATGAGTACTAACCTGCGAGTCGTGTATATCTATAAATATTCGCTGAACGTTACACATGTAATTACAGCCGCAATAGAATAATACGAGCGGGTTGCGTATACCGATAGAACGTAACGGCAACCAAATAGTACACAGTATATAAAAAATACTTTTTCGAGATGAACATTGTGATTGTGTTTAAAGGATGTCAACATTTGTTAACGGTTCTCAAACTTAATTCACATCTACACGCCTGAGCAGAACAGTAGGCAAAAGTTGACTGTATCCATAGACAGTTGTAATAAATAACTAGATTTGTAATTAAAAATAATTTTATAATTTGAAATGGAATATTATTTACAACGTTTGGTTTAGTTCGAAATATCAATATCATCTTCATAATTCTTTATTTATATACAATGACCTATACTTTTTGTATTATATTGCATTGTGTGACATCTTTTTAAAGTAAATTGTTCATTAAAACGTAATGTCTTGCAAATTCAACTTTTATATAGAAAAAATAACAGTAAGATATAATATAGAATATTAATAGTAATATGTAGCTCTTTCTTTCATTTATTGATTCTTAAAAGTAATAAATATTTGATTTACAAACGTTTCGAATAAAAATAACGTCGANGCAAATTCAACTTTTATATAGAAAAAATAATAGTAAGATATAATATAATAGTATTATGTAGCTCTTTCTTTCATTTATTGATTCTTAAAAGTAATAAATATTTGATTTACAAACGTTTCGAATAAAAATAACGTCGAAGTAACTTAATGATATCTTCTATTGTCAACTATTGTATTATCAAGTTGGAATGATTCTGAAAGAGGTGAGTATTTTATTCAAGTTGCTGTCGCAGTGACGACGATGGCTTGATTTTTTGCACCCTCTGGTACACACGCTTTGGTTGTGCTCGAGGGGTTCTATTAACGACCCTAATTGTGAAGTATCGATGCGTTCACACGCCAAATTAATAGGATTATGCACAATATATCTTAGTAATGTTACGTCGAAATTCATAATACACTAATTGAGTTCAAATCTAAGTTGCGACATTACACAATTTAACGTCAATTTTACATTGTTGTTAAATATGATTAAATTACACAACTTTGTAGAAAATCATAAATGATTGCAAAAATGTTAATCACTTCCGAAATACTGGTTCAAAAGTTGTTATCAACCAGTCATTTTCTAACGTTTAATCTGTTACTATATGCATGTTGCTCTTAATAAAAAAAAATCTGAACAATAGGTAAATAAACACACCTAAATAATATTTAACCACTTATGATATCAGAAATTATTATAGTACTATGTAAATAATACTATAAATCTATAGCTTCAAATTTTAAATAATTTATTATTTTCACTATCACATAGCAGAGAACTATCTAACTAATCATCCAGTCCTGTATATAACAAACGCCTAACAGCTTTTACATTAATAGGCACTATGTATATATGTTATAACAAATTTTAATGTGTAAAAATTCATTTATATTAATTCTATGAACATTATTGAAAATAATCAATAAAAATATAAAAGCTATACATAATCTCCTTGGTCAATAATTGATGATTATTTGAATCGAATGCACATAGTAATTGAGAAACCATGTCCAGCGTTACATGTAAAATAATATGTGTCCATTACATTTAACATTCATAGAATTTTAACAACTTTTTCAAATATTTCGTGAATTCATCAAAATTGTGGTGGTTTTGCATTAGAAACATATTTCATATTAAATCGTAATTTGATGATAACGATGAACGAAATTTATATAAAATGTTACAAAATCGTTGTGAAAAAGTGTGAAAATGATGATGACCTAAAAAAACCAAATATCACGTTTTACTGTTATTACAAAAATACTGTCATTAAAAAAAAAAAACATTAATATTTTGCTAATAAAATCATTTTTTAATCAATTTATACAAAATTGTTATCTTTTCTCGTTGTTTACCTTTGGATTAAGAAGAACCATCAGATTATGAAGGTTTTCATTTGATAAAACTCATTCAACAATCCTGGATCGGTTGTAAATATTTTTTTATATTGGATCAGAATATTTATTATTCAATTTAGACTAAGGTGTGAATTGCTTAAGATAGGAAGAATGTTCCGTGATGATACATCAAATGTCAGAATAGTACACTGAACCAAATTTCACTTGTAAAATTAACTGACTCGTTCATTAATAGATAACTAATGATAATTTATAATTCGTTCATCACTATTTATAGAAAAATATAGCAATGGTTGTCAAGTTATAAGGTTATATCAATAGTATATTTATTTAAGGTAACATAATTTGATTATAATGAAATTATGTTATATTTAAACTAATTTGATATTATTTTGATTATTTTAATCAATTAATTTTCAAAATATATTTATAGTAAAAAATAATTTATTAATATCATCCAAAATTTTAATATCTATATTTATTTTTTATAACATAAATCATTTTCTATTGTCTTATACGATTACTTGACTAAAGCTAAATGT